TGTCGGGCCCAGCACGCTGCCTGTAGCAGCAGCCTGCACGTGACCCCCCCCTCTCCCCTGGCCTCTCCACCAAATACAACGTCAAGTCACTGGGCTTAACCAACAACTTTTACAGCCTGTCGCTCGGGCACTATCGGTGTGCGACGACTCAAATCTCCACCTGTTCCACGTCTCAGCTCACAACTCTTAGCTCAGTGCAGTACGACTTCTCCAAGTCCTTTATCTGCAAGTGACTCGAAAATGAAAAAGCGTCGAGGAAAACTTTCAGCGATACTTAAGTCTGCCTCGGCAAGAACTCAACTCTTAACTACTCGGCGCTTTTCTCCCGGCAAAACTCAACTTATGGATGATTGCGAGAACTGTACCTCAATGCACGTGATGAATGACGTCACAAAGCAACCCTTAAAGGGCCTCAATGCACGTGATGAATGACGTCACAAAGCAACCCTTAAAGAGCCTATTTGCACGTGATGAATGACGTCACAAAGCAGCCCTTAAAGAGCCTCAATGCACGTGATGAATGACGTCACAAAGCAGCCCTTAAAGGGCCTCAATGCACGTCATGAATGACGTCACAAAGCAGTCCTTAAAGGGCCTCAATGCACGTGATGAATGACGTCACAAAGCAGTCCTTAAAGAGCCTCAATGCACGTGATGAATGACATCACAAAGCAACCCTTAAAGAGCCTCAATGCACGTGGTGAATGACGTCACAAAGCAGTCCTTAAAGAGCCTCAATGCACGTGATGAATGACGTCACAAAGCAGTCCTTAAAGAGCCTCAATGCACATGATGAATGACGTCACAAAGCAGTCCTTAAAGAGCCTCAATGCACGTGATGAATGACGTCACAAAGCAGTCCTTAAAGGGCCGCATGCAGCTCCGACGCGTCAGGCTGCCAACCCCCTGGGTCTTGTCAATTGCAGCCTGCGGAATTGTACGTCTTGGTCATGTGACTTACTAACTGTTTACTATATATTTCACCAGGCAAGGCCCACTGAGATAGAGAGGTCTTTTTTTCCGAAAGCGACCTCGCCGAATGAGGTGGCTTGTCACGTGGACTTTTATAGCAGCGGCCAATGCACATGGAGGGGAAAAGCCGCAGGGTGCCGGGAAAAAAATCCACACAACCATGGGGAGAGAGATGCGCAAACTTCAAACATACAGCAGCAGGCGTCTTCAGGGTCGAGATCAAACCCACGACCTCCTGTACACCAGGCGAGATAGTCAACATCTGCTAGCCACCATGATGATGAGAGACACTCAAACTCCAAACATACAGCAGCAGGCGTCGTCAGGGTCGAGATCAAACCCACGACCTCCTGTACACCAGGCGAGGTAATCAACATCTGCTAGCCACCATGATGATGAGAGACACTCAAAATCCAAACACAGCAGCAGGCGTCAGGGTCGAGATCAAACACACAACCTCCTGTACACCAGGCGAGATAGTCAACATCTGCTAGCCACCATGATGAGAGACACTCAAACTCCAAACATACAGCAGCAGGCGTCGTCAGGGTCGAGATCAAACCCACAACCTCCTGTACACCAGGCGAGATAGTCAACATCTGCTAGCCACCATGATGATGAGAGACACTCAAACTCCAAACATACAGCAGCAGGCGTCGTCAGGGTCGAGATCAAACCCACAACCTCCTGTACACCAGGCGAGATAGTCAACATCTGCTAGCCACCATGATGATGAGAGACACTCAAACTCCAAACATACAGCAGCAGGCGTCGTCAGGGTCGAGATCAAACCCACAACCTCCTGTACACCAGGAGAGGTAATCAACATCTATCCACCGTGGTTCCCCTCCGATGTTATAATCTCGTGGATAAATGAGGAGTCCTGTAATGCTCTGCGAGTTCTTCTGAATGGTCACATGGCCTGTCGGTAGCTAGGGACGAGCTTATCGGGTATCTCAATAAAGCTGTCGTATTTTTGGGGAACATCGGGGCCGCCGCTCGCTCCGACAAACGCAACTCCCTCGTGGTCTCTCGACTTCTCAGGCTCGACTCGACAAAATCAACTGGAACTTCGCCTGATGGGGCGGGGGCGAAATGGAGATTGCGCGCTCACCCGGGATGCAAAGCTGCCAAGGGCACCGAATATTTCACATCTTGAGAAGGAGCTTCGCGGATGTTGAAGTTATGTTTAATGATAGAATATAGTATTGTCATCGGTATGACGTACCTATGCCAAGTTTGCAGTCGATACGACATTGTGAAGACGGTTAAAAGTGAGTTTCAAGATTTGAGGATACAACAACCGACGGAGTGAGTGACATAAAAGCGTGTAAAATGTTTTAAAAATATGTTTTGGATGTTTTATGATAGAATATCGTGTTGTCATCAGTATGACGTAGATATTTCAAGTTTGCAGTCGATAGCACATTGGGAAGTGGGTAAAATTATGAGTTGGAGAAGACGTTTTTTGGAGGATACAACAGACTGAGTGAGTTACATAAAAGCGTGTAAAATGTTTAAAAATATGTTTTGGATGTTTTATGATAGAATATCGTGTTGTCATCAGTATGACGTAGGTATTTCAAGTTTGCAGTCGATAGCACTTTGGGAAGTGGGTAAAATTTGAGTTATTAGAGAAGATGTTTTTTGGAGGAGACAACAGACTGAGTTAGTTAAATAAAAGCGTGTAAAATGTTTAAAAAATATGTTTTGGATGTTTTATGATAGAATATCGTGTTGTCAGTATGACGCAGGTATTGCAAGTTTGTAGTCGATAGCACATTGGGAAGTGGGTAAAATTTGAGTTATAGAGAAGATGTTTTTTGGAGGATACAACAGACTGAGTGAGTTAAATAAAAGCGTGTAATAAAAAGAGGATGTCACTCCCCTGTCTGTGTGCTTTTACATCACACCCACCCACCCATTTCATTGCATTATTTATTAACGAGCTTTAATATAATTTCTGCCTTTTGTTCAACCGTCTGAGGTCGCTGGGAAGTGTTAATGGAATTGATTTGAACTGTATCACGGATAGTCATAATCTTTGGGTTTTTTCGGTAAAGTCACGTAGGTAAAAAAATGTAATTAATAAAAGTAAAATAAAATAAAAATCACGACGGTTCACCTGAAGACGGAAGCTTGTGTTGCCTCCGAAACGTTGTGATTTTTATTTTACTTTTATTAATTTTTTACCTACGTGACTATCGAAAAAACCAAAGAATATTAATCCTTGCAGTCAAGAAAGCTTCAAATCTAGAATGTATCACGGATCTTTGCGATTTATTTATTGCTTTATGACCTTTAACAATGAGGCCCCCATTGAGATACAGCACATTCATGTGTGTTGTGTTATTATTGTGATTTGAAGTTTTCGTGACTGCAAGAATCCATACTCTTTGGTTCTTTCGGTAAAGTCACGTGGGGTATAAAATAAAATAAATCGCGACGTTTGGGGCGCAACACATTTTATTTCATACCTACGTGACTACCGAAAGAACCAAAGAGTATTGTGTTTATGATTATTTGCGATTATGCACAAAGTGTATCGCGACTTGTTACTGGCTCTCTAGTTGTCTAGGGGTTTGTATTATCAGTCGTGACGACATCGATGAATCTCGCTTCAACATTCAAACGTAGGTCTACAATCTTGTCGCTGACATCCTTGTAGAGCTCTTTGGTCTTGGCCATGGTGGAGAGTTTGGAATCTGATTGATTGCTTCTGTGAACAGGTGTCTTTTATACAGGTAACAAGCTGAGATTAGGAGCACTCACTTTAAGAGTGTGCTCCTAGGAGAGGTGACGTCATCGCACTGAACGGCACACCTGACGTCACGTCCCCATTTTACTCCTCTACACATAATGAAATTTGATTTAAGTCTGACAACATTGATGTATCACATCGTGATGTGAGTGAAAAGGAATAACACCATTGGGTTTCACAATAGCTTCGTGTCTCTCTGTATGCTGAACGTCTTTCACACCGTACGTAGTCAACCACGTTCATCGCCATGTGTTAGGCTACTAAATACGGGTAAACTCTGGTTATCCGCGTCTCATTTGGGGATTGTTGAGTTTATCTACTTCTAATTTGGGGAAAGTGGCATTGCAACACCAAGCCCTGAACAGAGACGGCTAATTTATTGTCACGCACAGCGATGTCAGTGTACAAATTACTGCAAAAAAACACGGTGATAGTCAGAGGAACAGTGGCAACACAAGCCAACAATCTTGTCAGAATTATTAAATTGTACATTTACATGCGATAACAAGTACATGTTCAAAACTTTGTGACGTGTAAGGGTTGGAATTCAAGCATACTTTCAAGGTGACACTGCAATGCACATGCTAACAGATGATACAATTGTTGCAAATGAAAACGTAATTGCAATACTCAAGCATGTTTTTACAGTTCGAATTTGTCTCAGAGGAAACATTCTATATCGCGACGGAATCCACGCACACACACATTACTAGGAATTGAGTAAAATTGCTTTAGAATTATTACTTAGAGAACACAATCATCTCCACACTCGTGCTTAAATGTGGGAATGACAGCCTTAGGGCTGAAAATAAGATTTCAGAGCTCACGGGAGTGAGGCCATTGTCTGAAAGGCACGGCCATTTTACAGCCTCGGGGATTCTACCGTTGGGCCTAGGGGATTTTGGCGCGGTTTCTGCTCCGATGGCATCCAGCGGTATCGGCCCCCGCTGAGGGTGATCCTACATCACTCCCTGAGGGGACCCTTCGCCGTCTCTCTCTCTCTGGGTTCCGCGCTGCCGTCAGCTCGACCGCGGAGCCTTCAACGGAACCCCATCACCACCGCCGGCCCGGTGAAGATTGATCCCGCGTCGATCGCCGTGCCCGAGGGCTCTGTGCCCGTCAGCGGTGCCGGCTCCTCCAGCGGCGTCCATAAAGTGTGGGGGGGGGGGGGGGCGCTTCCTGGTCGGGTGAGAGGAGACGCCTCTGCTGACGCCATGGGCGTTCGGACAGGCGGCCAACCTTGTACAAGCTCGACTGCCGTGGGAGTGGAGCGTGACCACCTCCGTAAATTGGGTGACCCAGTCCGCCCGAGGCCTCCTGCTCCTCCTCCTCTCATGGCTCTCTCGGACCTGTGGGTGAGTGAGTAGGTGGGTGAGTGGTTGAGTGATGGTTGAGTAAGTGGTTGAGCAAGTGGGTGGGTGAGTGGGTGGGTGAGTAGGTGGGTAAGTGGGTGACTGGGTGAGTGAGTGGGTGAGTAGGTGGGTGAGTGGTTGAGTGAGTGGTGGAGTGGGTGGGTGAGTGGGTGGGTAAGTGGGTGGGTGAGTGAGTGGTTGAGTGAGTGGTTAAGTGAGTGGGTGGGTGTGTAAGTGGGTGAGTGAGTGGGTGGGTGAGTGGGTGAGTGAGTGAGTAGGTGGGTGAGTGGGTAAGTGGGTGGGTGAGTGAGTGGTTGAGTGAGTGGGTGGGTGAGTAGGTGGGTGAGTGGTTGAGTGAGTAGTTGGGTGAGTGGTGGGTGAGTGGTTGAGTGAATGGTTGAGTGAGTAGGTGGGTGAGTGGGTGGGTGGGTGAGTGAGTGGGCGAGTAAGTGGGTGGGTGAGTGGTTGAGTGAGTGGGTGGGTGGGTGGGTGAGTGGATGAGTGAGTGTTTGAGTGAGTGGGTGGGTGAGTGGATGAGTAAGTGGGTGGGTGAGTGGTTGAGTGAGTGGGTGAGCGAGTGGGTGAGTAAGTGGGTGGGTGAGCGAGTGGTTGAGTGGGTGGGTGAGTGAGTGGGTGGGTGAGTGGGTGAATGAGTGGTTGAGTGAGTGGGTGGGTGAGTAGGTGGGTGGGTGAGTGGGTAAGTGAGTGAGTGGTTGAGTGAGTGGGTGCGTAGGTGGGTGAGTGAGTGGGTGGGTAAGTAAGTGGTTGAGTGAGTGGTTGAGTGAGTGGGTAAGTGGGTGGGTGAGTGGTTGAGTGAGTGGTTGGGTGAGTGGGTGGGTGAGTGGGTGGGTGAGTAGGTGAGTGGTTGAGTGACTGAGTGGTTGAGTGGGTGGGTGAGTAAGTGGGTGAGTGAGTGGGTGGGTGAGTGGGTGGTTGAGTGAGTGGGTGACTGGGTGGGTGACTGGGTGAATGAGTGAGTGGGTGATTGTGGGTGTGTGGATGAGTGAGTGGGTGACTGGGTGGGTGAGTGAGTGGGTGATTGTGGGTGTGTGTGTGAGTGGGTGAGTGACTGGGTGAGTGAGTGGGTGGGTGATTGTGGGTGTGAGTGGGTGATTGTGGGTGATTGTGTGGGTGAGTGACTGGGTGAGTGAGTGTGTGAGTGACTGGGTGAGTGAGTGTGTGTGTGATTGTGGGTGTGAGTGGGTGAGTGACTGGGTGAGTGGGTGGGTGATTGTGGGTGTGAGTGGGTGATTGTGTGTGAGTGGGTGATTGTGGGTGTGAGTGGGTGATTGTGGGTGTGAGTGGGTGTAAGTGGGTGATTGTGGGTGTGAGTGGGTGATTGTGGGTGTGAGTGGGTGATTGTGGTGTGAGTGGGTAATTGTGGGTGTGAGTGGGTGATTGTGGGTGTGAGTGGGTGATTGTGGTGTGAGTGGGTGATTGTGGGTGTGAGTGGGTGATTGTGGGTGTAAGTGGGTGTGAGTGGGTGATTGTGGGTGTGAGTGGGTGTGAGTGGGTAATTATGGGTGTGAGTGGGTGATTGTGGGTGTGAGTGGGTGATTGTGGGTGTGAGTGGGTGATTGTGGGTGTGAGTGGGTGATTGTGGGTGTGAGTGGGTGATTGTGGGTGTGAGTGGGTGTGAGTGGGTGATTGTGGTGTGAGTGGGTGATTGTGGGTGTGAGTGGGTGATTGTGGGTGTGAGTGGGTGATTGTGGGGTGTGAGTGGGTGTGAGTGGGTGATTGTGGGTGTGAGTGGGTGATTGTGGATGTGAGTGGGTGATTGTGGGTGTGAGTGGGTGTGAGTGGGTGTGAATGGGTGATTGTGGGTGTGAGTGGGTGATTGTGGGTGTGAGTGGGTGATTGTGGGTGTGAGTGGGTGATTGTGGGTGATTGTGGGTGTGAGTGGATGATTGTGGGTGGATGAGTGAACCGGAGAATCGACCCCCTCCTACGGCGGAGGGCGTTCCGACGGCGTCTGCAGACCGCCTCTACCGGTGACGTCACCTGCACACTGGAACATCGGATCATGGCGTAAGGATTTGTACTATACACACTGCACCATAGACTCAACACTGCACCATAGACTTAACACTGCCCACAGACTCAACACTGCCCATAGACTCAACACTGCCCATAGACTCAACACTGCACCATAGACTTAACACTGCCCACAGACTCAACACTGCCCATAGACTCAACACTGCCCATAGACTCAACACTGCACCATAGACTTAACACTGCCCACAGACTCAACACTACCCACAGACTCAACACTGCCCACAGACTCAACACTGCCCACAGACTCAACACTGCCCACAGACTCAACACTGCCCACAGACTCAACACTGCCCACAGACTCAACACTCCCCATAGACTCAACACTACCCACAGACTCAACACTGCCCATAGACTCAACACTACCCACAGGCTCAACACTGCCCACAGACTCAACACTACCCACAGACTCAACACTGCCTATAGACTCAACACTACCCATAGACTCAACACTGCCCATAGACTCAACACTACCCATAGACTCAACACTGCCCATAGACTCAACACTGCCCATAGACTCAACACTGCACCATAGACTCAACACTGCCCACAGACTCAACACTGCCCATAGACTCAACACTGCACCATAGACTCAGCACTGCCCACAGACTCAACACTGCCCACAGACTCAGCACTGCACCATAGACTCAACTTTGCCCATAGACTCAACACTACCCATAGACTCAACACTGCACCATAGACTCAACACTGCATCAAAGACTCAACACTGCCCACAGACTCAACACTGCACCATAGACTCACCCCTGCCTGAGTTGGAGTAGTGGTTGTAGTAGTAACTGACGGGTAGTTGTAGGGGTAGCAGTATTTTTCGTAGATATAGAGGCGGTAGTAGTGATAGCAGTAGTCGTAGTAGTACCTGTAGAACTGGTAGTAGTACAGGTAGTAGTTGTAGTACTGGTAGTAGTATTGGTAGTAGTTGTAGTACTGGTAGTAGTACAGATAGTAGTTGTAGTACTGGTAGTAGTTGTAGTACTGGTAGTAGTACCAGTAGTATTGGTAGTTGTAGTACTGGTAGTAGTTGTAGTACTGGTAGTACTGGTAGTAGTACTGGTAGTAGCTGTAGTACTGGTAGTAGTGCAGTAGTCGTACTAGCAGTACTACTGGTAGTACTAGTTGTAGTAGGCCTTGCAGTAGTACTAGTTGTAGTGTGAGTACAAGCGGTACTAGTAGGATCGCTACTAGTTGTAGTACCAATTCTAGTAGTACTGGTACGTGTGGTAGTAGTGGTACGTGTGGTGGTACTGGTACGTGTGGTAGTTGTGGTACGTGTGGTAGTTGTGGTACGTGTGGTAGTAGTGGTACGTGCGGTAGTTGTGGTACGTGTGGTAGTTGTGGTACGTGTGTAGTAGTGGTACGTGCGGGTAGTTGTGGTACGTGCGGTAGTAGTGGTACGTGTGGTAGTTGTGGTACGTGTGGTAGTAGTGGTACGTGCGGTAGTTGTGGTACGTGTGTAGTAGTGGTACGTAGCGGTAGTTGTGGTACGTGCGGTAGTAGTGGTACGTGTGGTAGTTGTGTACGTGCGGTAGTAGTGGTACGTGTGGTAGTTGTGGTACCTGCGTAGTAGTGGTACGTGTGGTAGTAGTGGTACGTGGGGTAGCAGTGGTACGTGTGGTAGTAGTGGTACGTGCGGTAGTGTGGTACGTGTGGTAGTTGTGGTACGTGTGGTAGTAGTGGTACGTGCGGGTAGTTGTGTACGTGCGGTAGTAGTGGTACGTGTGGTTAGTTGTGGTACGTGCGGTAGTAGTGGTACGTGTGGTAGTTGTGGTACGTGCGGTAGTAGTGGTACGTGTGGTAGTAGTGGTACGTGTGGTAGCAGTGGTACGTGTGGTAGTTGTGGTACGTGCGGTAGTTGTGGTAGTCGCATTGTCTGTGCCTCGGCTGGAGCAGATGAGTCAACAGCTGTGGATCGTGAATCGTGGTTTCATGGTCGATTCCCCTTTTCGAGTCGATCCGGAAAAGTGCTGCAGGCTTGTAACGTCGATTCCTTGGAATCCAACGGAGATCGATTCGAGGGCAAGCGAATCGTTTGCTAAACAAGCGATTCCTTTGATCACGTGACACGCGCACCCTCCCCTGATTGGCTCACATCGCCTCATTCCTCAAACCCCCCCCCCAGCACGTGACAGCCCCTCCCCTCCACCGGTAGCATCGTGTCACGTGGTGTAGTGTGGAGTCTATATTACTGAAGTGTATATTTCGATTTAAAGCTTTCGTGACTGCAGGGATTCATCTTCTTTATTTTTTCGGTAAAGTCACGTAGAAGGGAAAAAATAAAATAATAAAAATAAAACAAATAATATTACATAATTAAATACTATTTTATTATGTTTTATTTTTATTATTTTATTATTTCCCTTCTACGTGACTTTACCGAAAAAACCAAGAAGATACTGTAGTGTATAGTGCAGTGTATAGTGTAGTGTATAGTAGTGTAGTGTATAGTACAGTAGTGTATAGTAGTGTAGTGTATAGTGTAGTGTATAGTGTAGTGTATATTACTGTAGTGTATAGCTGTGTAGTCTATATTACTGTAGTGTATAGTGTAGTGTATAGTAGTGTACTGTATGGTAGTGTATAGTAGTGTAGTGTATAGTAGTGTATTGTTTAGTACTGTAGTGTATAGTGTAGTGTATATTACTGTAGTGTATATTACTATAGTGTATAGTGTAGTGTATAGTAGTGTAGTGTATAGTAGTGTACTGTATAGTAGTGTAGTGTATAGTGTACTGTATAGTAGTGTAGTGTATAGTGTATAGTTGTGTAGTGTATAGTACTGTAGTGGTGGGAATCTGATGTCGGGTGGTGGGGGGCACAATGACACATCCACAACTCACGCGAGATCTGACCCCCCAAAGAGAAGACCTTTATTTGTGAATAGCTCGGCGTTAAACTCGCAACAGGAAACTTAAAAGGCGATTTGAAGCTTTCGT